TGGCTCTCAGGGCTCTGGGGATCTGCTCTGTGCCATCCCGGGGTTCCTGCTTCCCTCGCTGGGATTGGGGGTGTGAGCCTGGAGGATCCACAGGGTGGTTGGGGTGGGGTTAGGGGTCCTCCCGGGATCCCGAGGGGGGTTGGGATGGGTTCAGGACTCCTCCCTGGTCCCTGGGGGACACGGGGGTGTCTCTCAGGGCTCTGGCTCCCGATCTGAGGGAGTGAGCCCCCTGATTCCAGCCGGGAGCAGGTCAGGGAGAGCAGGGGAGCTGCCCCTTGCTGGGCTCAGGGCTCTCATCCCTTGCCCTTCCCTGGATTTGGGGGGTCTCCCTCCCTGTCCCTGGCCGTGTTTGGGGAGGGTCTCCCCCCTGGGGGTGTCCCCCCCTGCTCCCACCTCCTCCCCAGCCCCCCTCTGTGCCCCAGGCTGGTGCTGCAGGACCCCGACGTGTCCCCGGAGCTGTCCCGGGGCTCCGGAGCCGAGCTGGAGCCGGAGGATTGTTCCTCGGGTGAGGATTGTCCCTGCTGCCACCTCCCCTGTCCCCTCCCCTGTCACCTGGGGGGGGGGACACGGGGTCAGCCCTCCCCCTTCCCTGTCCCATGGAACTCCTCCCTCCCTTTGCTCTGCCAGGGATGGCACCTGGAGCTCATCCCTCCCTTTCCCATCACACATGGAGCTCATCCTTCCCTTTTCCCTGTCCCCTGGAGCTGATCCCTGTCTTTTCCCTCTCCCCTGGAGCTCATTCCTCCCTTTTCCCTGTCCCCTGGAGCTCATCCCTCCCTTTCCCTGTCCCCTGGAGCTCATCCCTCCCTTTTCCCTGTCCCCTGGAGCTCGTCCCTCCCTTTTCCCTGTCCCATCCCTCCCTTTTCCCTGTCCCATTCCTCCCTTTTCCCTGTCCCATCCCTCCCTTTTCCCTGTCCCATCCCTCCCTTTTCCCTGTCCCATCCCTCCCTTTTCCCTGTCCCCTGGAGCTCGTCCCTCCCTTTTCCCTGTCCCCTGGAGCTCATCCCTCCCTTTCCCTGTCCCATCCCTCCCTTTTCCCTGTCCCCTGGAGCTCATCCCTCCCTTTCCCTGTCCCCTGGAGCTCATCCCTCCCCTCCCGCAGCCGACAGCGATCCCGCGGCTCTCCTGGGCCGGGAGAAGCCCCTGGAGGAGGAATCTCTGGAGGAGGAGCCGGTGGGCAGCGAGGGGGAGGAGGAGGAGGAGGAGGAGGGCGAGGAAATCCCGGGCCCTTCCTCCCTCCTTCCCGGCGGAGCCATCCCAGCCCTTCCCGCTCCCATCCCGGACATCCCCACCCAGCTCCCGCTGCTCCCGAAATCCTGCGGCTCCCAGGGCGTGGCCGAGGCCGCGCTGGAGG